GTCTCGTGTACACCCCCACATACCCCGGGGGTGGACGATGGATTCTATCGGATGCTGAGGGCATTCGGCACCAATATCCATCAGCTTCAAAAATGCCGTAGTGCAACTCAATTTGCTCAGCAAATCGATATTGATCGGCGTTCTCTACCCACCATGAGTAGGGGCGGTTCTTTATCATGGCCGAAGCGACTTTGGCATTCTCCCACTCTGAAAACCCAGGGAGGATATCCCAAAGGACAGCGGGAATTTCATCGTCCCGTCCAGAAGCACTCGGCTCACCCGTTCTTTGAGGAGGAGCCGAGGAAAGGGGAGTCGCCCTAATCCCTTCAGCATGGTCAGACTCCGGCCTTCGACCATTCCAGGTCCCAATCCTATTCCTAGGATCGGGAATCGGCCTTGCTCTTCTTGGAGCACGGGCTCTACCTCTAACTCCTCTTGCCATGGACTATTTCGAAGAGAAAAGTCGAAAGAAAAGGGGAAGGAGTTCGAATTCGAAGAAAAATAAACTGAAATCAAAGGAATTTACCTTAATCTGAAGCGAAAGTTGCCGATTTACGAGTTCGTAGTGGCAAGTCTCAGTTTCTAAGCTCAATGCTCGGGGGAATTTGCGAAGTTTTGATGCGGGTTCTTGGATTCTCTCTCGAAGAATTCTGGGTTTGTGTTGGTGAATCAGTGAGGAGAATGACGCGCCTCTGTTTATATCTCCAGGTACGGGATACGAAGAGTCTGTGCTTTAATTTCTCTTAAGTACCCACTAAGTAACCATTAAACACATGTCTTGTGATTAAACCGCCCATTATCCGTCCAACTTCCGCAAATCATTAACCGTTGTTATCTCATTAATTACGGTTTAAATTCAAATTTTTGGATCAATTAAATCATTTACTTCCCTCCTTTTCTGAGTTAAATCAAACCCGACCCGTCATTCTTCCGAATCGGGTCTGGGGGGCAAGTTGTTTGGGTCCAATTTAGTCAAAATTGGGCCTGAGCACTAAATGATCCAATTAAAAGCCCAAGGTCAAGGTTCAACTCTCCAATTGCTCAAAAGTCAAAAGTCAGCCCACAAAGTAAGCCAATTGGGCTAAAGCCCAACCTCTCCAAATATGATGAGGTATAAAAGCCCTCATATTAACACATTCAAGAGACATCTCATAACATCATATACACTATCAGACACAACAACACATGCATCATCACATACATTATCTCATACACGGATTATTCCAACTCATATGCTCATTCTTGCATTGAGAAATACTCCACAAAAGCCTCAAGCTACAAACTCTCTTGCATAGTGTCTTCCTTTTTACACATTGTACTGACTTTAGCATCGGAGGGGCCTTCCTCGGAAACACCCCCGAGGCTAGTTTACGTGTGTTCACTGTGCAGGAAACCTTCGGCCCAACACAGCTTGGATCGAATCCAGTCTTCTCCATTCTAGTGGACCTTCGGCAAGGTCCCATTGTTTTCAACCGAAACAAGAAGTATTTGTTAGTTAAAAGCCAATGATGAAGCACCAACTAGTACTTTTATACGTACTTTATGGTGTTAACTAACATACGGATGTTGAATTTTAGGGCGAAAAATCGTGCGTATAATGGGGTGATATAGTTGATCAATGTTAGATTACTCTTATTTAGTGTGACTTGCATCTTTTTTAATTCCGTTGATTATAAACTTGGCAATGTACACAAGGTCATGTTGCCAACTGACCTACTAGATAATACTTATATTAGTAAGGTCTCCAAAAATCAATAATGGTTTTTGAAAACAATTTTTTTTTTTTTTTTTTTTTTTTTTTTTTTTTTGAGGGAATGAAAACAATTTATTAAAAACCTTAAGAATTTGACCAAACTTTTCTAGAAAAGTTTTTTCAAAAGTTGGCTAGGAGATGATAAACAATTTTCAATTACAACCAATTATACAATGTGTATGGTACGTACAATAAAAACTATTTATCTGATTATCTCGATATACCACATAATACAAAGTATATATAGGGGCATATGGTGAATTAATTCATTTCATTGATATGAATAAAGTTATAAATATCTATACAAATTAGATCATATATGTACTTGCATGGTGTCCGTAAACCATATTGCTTATTACTAGTTGAATTGTAAAGAGAGATAGTTGAAGCTTGCTAGTTTAATTAACTTCCAAGGCTCAACATCCACATATAATTAGCACATGCCAATATGCCATGATCCATATTGATTAGGTCATTGGTGACAGAATTTTATAGCAAGCTATCTTAATTACCTTCATAATTATTAACACCAATCCATTATTTATTTTATTTTGAGGAAAAACAATTATATATTTATATTACAGAGTTAATAATTCGTTTTCTTATCATCCATTAATGCATCTTCGAACTCACCAGAATTTTAGGAATAATAAGGGAAAGTTGGTATAAGTTAGATAAACTTATTGAAATTATTTGGTACGATATGATGCAAGACGTATCAATGCATAAACTATTAAGCTAGTTAACAATAAGTTTGGTAATGGAGTTAACATTCAATGCATAAACTAAATACGCTAGTTAACAAGTTTGATAATGGAATTTAAGAGCATGAGAAGAGGCCCGCTACATAACATACCAAAACATGACCACATGCATATTGAGCAGAAAAAAAAAAATTCGTTTTAGAATTAGGCATATAGGCTATATTAAGCCTTTTATTTTTTATTTTATTTATTTTATTTTAAGTGTATTACTTTCATTATCATAGATGCATCACATACATTTTTAAAAATATTTTTACTATCTCAATCTCATATTATTTGCATTTTTAGTGGTATTATTTGTGAGATATAAAATATTTAAAAATAATATAAAATGGAGGTAGTATTATTATTTCCTTGGTTTAGAAGCAGTTGCACTATTTCTTATTTATTTCCCCTCTTTACACACCCCACCCTTATTAAGTAAGACAATACATCTTATTTATTTCCCCTCTTTACACACCCCACCCTTATTAAGTAAGACAATACACCAATTTGTAAATTAAAAATCACATATTGGTAATTATATTTTGTTGATCTAAATGAATTGTTTTAAACTTTAGGAAATCTTATACATACTTCGTAAGAAAGATACCTACGACTCGTTTGAAATGCTAACTTGAAACACGAGAGTAAACTACCTTTGGAAGATACATACCCTAAATAGGGGGTTTACTTCTTCCCAAATTTTCAAACTTACCAAGGTCACGTTCCTCACAGCAGTTCTGCTCTGCTGAAATCTGTTCTGCTTTGTTTTGCTGAAATATGCTCAACTCTGCTCTGCTTCTAAATATTACTTTATATTGAAGTATTATAATAATAATAATTAATATTTAATAATAATAAATATATAAAATTGAATAATAATAATAATAATTAATACTGAATTATTATTATAATAATAATAATAATAATAATAATTAGTAATTAATAATAATAATAAATAAATAAATACTTTTTAATAATAATAATATTAAAATTAAAATTTAATAATAATAAATAAATAAAAAATATTTAATAATAATAATATTATAAAAAATTAATATTTAAAAAAATAATAATAAATATTTAATAATATTATTATTATTAAAAATCAATATTTAATAATGATAATGATAATAATAATACTAATAACAAATAATTAATATTTAATAATAATAATAAATAATTAATATTTAATAATTTTAATAGTAGTAATAATAATTAATAATTAATATTTAATAATTATAATATTACTAATAATAATATTTAATAATAATAATAATAATAGTTATAATAATAATGATAATAATAGTAATAAAAGTACTAAAAAAAGTAATAATAGAACTTAATAATAATAATAATAATAATAATTGATTTTTTATAATAAAAATTAATATTTAAAGATAATACTAATTATTAATTTTCAATAATAATAATAATATAAAGTAATAATGAGATAATATTTAATAATAATTATTATCATAATAATAATTAATATACAAAAATAATATTAAATGATTATGATAATAATGTGATAATAGTAATAATAATAGTAGTAGTAGGAGGAGGAGGAGCAGCAGCAATAATAATAATGATAATAATAATAATAAATAATAATTATTATTATTATTATTATTATTATTATTCTTATTATTATTATAGTAACAATAACAGTAACAATAGCGGTAATAGTAGTAGTAGTAAAAATAATAATAATACAAATTTTTGTATGCGGCTGGCCACATGGTGCGGCAGGAGTTACTTGTAGGGTGTTACTTGTTTTGTCAGGAGTTACTTGTAAGTGTTACTTGTATTACGGGGTTACTTGTATGGAGGTTACTGGTTTTGGTCAAGTGTTACTTGGAGGGTGTGACTGGTTTTGTAAGGAGTGACTTGTAGGTGTTACTTGTATCATGAGTTTACTTGTATGGGTGTTACTGGTTTTTATCAGGGGTTACTTGTAGGGTGTTACTGGTTTTGTCAGGGGTTGCTTGGGTTACTTGTAGGGTATTACTGGTTTGGTATGGGATTTTGGTTTAAAGTTACTTGTAGGAGTTACTCAGAATAAAAGTAACACCTATAAGTAACTCATACAAGTAACCCCAGAATACAAGTAACCCTAAAATACAAGTAACACCTTACAAGTAACCCCTGCCGCATCAAGTGGCTTGTCGCACTGAAAAACCTCTGTAATAATAATAGTAATAATAATAATAATAATAATAATAATAATAATAATAATGAAATATGCTCTGCTCGGATCGGCTCTGCACTGTTCTGCTCTGCCCAGAATTTCTTAAGAACAGGGCCAAGTTTATCTTATTTTTTATATAACTAAAAAACATTATTATAATAAATTATGAAAATAAAATATAATATTTGTGTTGTCATCTCTCCTACATACCTCAATAATATACTTTCCATGTGAGGAGGTTGCCAACTTGTAAAGGACTAATCCCTTGCTTATAAAAGGGAGCATTACTCCCAACATTTACTTTAGCAAATACAACATCCTTTTTTCCATAAATTATTCTTTCTAAAATTAGCTAAATCCTCTCCATTCCTCTGTTTTTGAGTTAGAAACATGAAAATGAACAAACCCGCCTTAGCCTTTTCTATTGTTTTTCTAGGATTATGTATCCTAAATATTAATGTTGATGCTTTTGTGGCTTCTGGATGGCAAAAGGCTCATGCCACTTTCTACGGTGGCAGTGATGCTTCTGGAACTATGGGTATGTCAAGTTATTTTTCATTTAAATTTATTTTGATTCACAAATCATTCAATTCTACCAATAATAAGTTTATATGTTTAGCATGACATAACGAATCGAAGAATCATAGGACTGAATCTTAACAAATTATCATTGATTTGCAGGAGGAGCATGTGGGTACGGCAACTTGTACTCCACTGGCTATGGGACAAGCACCGCAGCTCTAAGTACTGCATTGTTCAACAATGGTGCGGCATGTGGGCAATGCTACAGAATCATGTGTGACTATAACACGGATCCAACATGGTGTAGGAAGGGAGCTTCGGTAACTATTACTGCAACTAACTTCTGCCCTCCAAACTATGCATTGCCAAACAATGCCGGAGGTTGGTGTAACCCTCCTCGCCAACACTTTGACATGGCGCAACCTATCTGGGAGAAGATTGGCATTTACAGAGGCGGAATCATTCCTGTCATCTTCCAAAGGTAATTAAAAACATCTGGCCTTAGACAACTTGAAACATAATTGTACATTGAAAAGTCTGATCTTGTATAATTATATGTTCAACTGTAGTAAATGTACATATATTAAATTATTTTTCATTTTGTTACAGGGTTCCATGTATGAAGCAAGGAGGAGTCAGATTTACTATCAATGGAAGGGACTACTTTGAGCTTGTATTGATCAGCAACGTAGGTGGAGCAGGATCAATCCAATCTGTTTCGATCAAGGGAACGAAAACTAACTGGATGGCGATGTCTAGAAATTGGGGGGCTAACTGGCAGTCATTGGCATACCTTAATGGACAATCTTTGTCCTTCAGAGTCACTACTACTGATGGCCAAACACAAACTTTTAACAATGTGATTCCTGCTAATTGGAGATTTGGTCAGACGTTTTCGAGTCTTGTACAGTTCAAGTAAGCCATGGATGCGCGCTTGCAGTGTGTGTGGGGGTGTAAGCCATGGAATCCTTGATAGGCAGAGGCATGCTCATAGCGTTTTATTCAATGAAGCAGCCCGCCAATTTATCATTGTTTTATATTAAGTGACTTTATTAATCAAGCAACTAATCTTTTTTGTGTTGCTTTCATTTTATACTACATGTGTGTCACCTATAATTTCTCAATAGGTTTGTTTTGAGTGATTGTCTTACAAATTTGGAAAATTACACTTTAATAATTCCAACTAATGCCGATTTACCTACAATAATCCCTGTTTAGGGTAAAAATACCCTTTACACATGGACCAATTAGAAAGGGATACGTGGACCAATCAGAAAGGGACACATGTTAATCTTGGATGGGTCCAATGTGGACTACTCTTCAGCTAACACGTGTTAGCTAGCCTCGCATATAACAAATAGAATGGCGGCCTTTAGGGCCCAACTCTAAAGAACGCCGCAAAACGGTGCAGCCCATTCAGTAATCCTGACCTAATGAAGTGCACATTTTCCAATGACCCTATAAGTACGGAGATTTTTCCCATTTTGGGGACACCTTAATTTAATACAACAACCCTACATTCTCTCACATTAGAGAAATCACTTTATCTCGGAATCCAAGAATATCTCACCTTTACCTTTTCTCCACCATTTCATCTTCTACTACCAATACTAACTTGATCGTCGAAGGCGAAGCTCCTACCAAACGGATTCTCCATGTTTTGCAGATACAGACCGCGCCGGAGCAGTCTTGGTGACGTAACTCTCCCGAGGGACCAAAATACACCCAAAACATTTGGCGCCGTCTGTGGAGGAGAGTACTTATAAGATGGTTCAAGATTCTGTACCGCCACCTGCACTGGAGGAGCCAGCATGGGACAAAAAAAAATTAGTTTAAATATACTTTTTTGTGCAAAATATTTCAATTCACTGCAAATGTTTTAGCGGTTACTGTAGGTACATGTGGGTCTGTGGATGCGGGAATGAATCCCTTTGAGCACTTCATAATTTTTATTTTTGCATAAGTACAAAATACCTATAAATTTAGACCATAACAAACATTTGTTGCTGTGTTGGTTAGTGAGATCGAAGTTTAATTCCTACTGCATGCCTTTCAGTTTTTCTTTATTTTTCATTTCATTTCATTTCTTTTCTTTTCTTAGCAATTATTCTATATACTTATTTGATTAATTGTAGTTGTAATTTTACTTAAACAGTTTCCAAATTATGGTTGTGAAAGAGAATTATGATAAGTACTCCATTATTTAGTTATACGTAAGTATTACAATTTTTCAAATATTCCGAACCCATAATCAAATACGTTTATAGAGGAAATTTTGGTATATGGTGCTGGTTTTTCTACTAGTACTCTGTATTTTGAATTTTTATGGGTGTAAAACTTTAACCATTCAAGTATCTGTATATTCTAACATTTTTGGCAAACTAAGTGATGTTTATTTGTCCCCCCGGTTTAATATTTCTGGCTCCGCTACTGGCCACCTGAACCTAACCGGCTTACGGTCGATGGGGAGGTCCACATGGACCATGATACAAATAACTATGAAGTCGAAACTTATGTGGCCCCTAATGGGCCACTCATCTCTAAGCGCATCCGTCCCAGAGATAGACTAGAAAGTAGCAACAATGAAGCTGGTCCTAGCAAGTCTACTGGACCACCGCCTAGGTACACCTACACGATAAGGGGTCAGGCTCTAGTCACCCGAGACGAATTTATTAAATTCGTGACAAGTTTTAAGGGTGAAATTTAGGACCTAATAAACAAGAGGATGACTGGCTCTAGCAAGGGTTAGCCGGTCACGAAGACTCCTCAAACCGAGAGGCGAAAGTCAATCAAAGACAGGCAGCCCAATCCACATCCAAAGGAGAAGGCCACACCTGCCATTGACTGGTCCAAGATCCTTCTTCCTCAAATGGGAAAAAGGAAGGTCATCCGGGTAGTTCAGCCAGATGGCAGTAAGAAAACGTTCTCCGATGCTCGACACATCATCGCGCATAACAGGAGCCAGCAATTGTTTAAGTCAGCCTCTACATCGAGCTTCGAATTCTCAATCCTTGCATGAGAGCCATAAAGGTGGCAAGTTAGTCCATACCGACCCTCATAAGATTGGGTTAGTCCCGTATGTGCCTCAGATGCCATACATGCAATATGTCCCACCATTCATGCAGCCGACTTTCTTTCAGGACAGGCGGCACATAATGTCCAGCCCCTAGACAAGAAGATCTGATTGCTCAGACTTGGTAAAAAAACCTCTGCGTTCACCAAGGAAATAAGCGAGGAAGCACAACCGGACAAGGTTAATAATGTCTTGGTTGATGCCTATGATGGTACCACCAACCTTGAGGGTCACCTCATGGCGTACACCGACCTCATGAACATGTAGGGGTTGGAAGATGCCATGTGGTGCCAATGCTTACCGGTTACCTTGAAGGGCATAGCCCAACAATGGTTTGGCAACTCGCTAGCCGGATGCATTATTGATAGCTTCAAGAGGCTTGCCTTCTTGTTTGCTTCCCACTTCTCGATGAACATCCTTGCCAAAAAAACAAGTCTCGACTTGAGCACTATACGGCAGGGAGAGAGAGAAGGACTTCGCTCCTACGTCATACGGTTCAATTTGGTAAGAAGTTAGATTCAAGGGATGTCTGATGAGGTAGCCTACACAAACTTCTTTAAGGGTCTGAAGGACGGGTTGACCTTTAAGCTCGTTATGAAGAGGATCTTTACCCTCCAAGAGGCGTTGATGCAGGCGGAGAGCTTTATTCAAGCCACCGACCTCTGCTCGTCTAGCCATCAGTAGGATACTAAAAAGTCTGACAAGCAAAAAGAGAGCCAGTTAGCTCAGTCGACTCAAAAAGCTGAAGAGAGAAAAAAGAGAAAGGAAGTCTGGGTGGTTGTTGAATTTGATCAGCCGACCCAGAAGAAAAATAAAGAATTCAAACAGGACGTCCCAAGGTACAAGTTTAATAAAGACTGTTACTCCGTTGAGAAACCAAATCCAATTAAGAGTTCCATCTAGTCACGGAACAAAAGTAAATAATGCCACTTTGTAGGCGTCGCTCGAAGTGCGCCTATGTAAAAGCATGTGGTGAATATGCTTGGCACTCATAGGAAGTGGGAATTGACATTACGATTAGGGACAATGATTAGGGACAAAGCAAATTAGGGAGCCGCCAACAAGTTTTTAAGGAACTTGTAAACCGTTCACGGATCATAAAAGGCAACCACAAATAAGGGACAACGATAGGCAACAACGATTGACCCGTGAAGGTTACACCCCATTCATAATCCATGAGATTACTAACTCCATATGGTTCGGAACCACAAAAGGAGGATCGGGGATGATGGTACGAAGTGAGTCATGGAGTCACATTCGCCCGTATTGGCCTCTACTCGATTCTTATAGTGAAAAAACATTCCTGCGATCTCAAAGACATACAAACAAAATATTCAATTCGCTCCAAACTATTATTAGGCTAAATTGGTTTAATATTAATGCAACACATTATTCTAAAATATTGTGATCACTTAAATTAACAACAAGATTAAAAAGGAACCTAAACCGGTTGTCCAAATTATCTTATTAGGCATGATTTTCAATTACATATTCCCTTTAAACATGCAATATGGTGATCATAGAAATAATAGAATAAACATTAATATTGGAAGCAATTTAGCAATAATTCCAACAATATAAAATCGTTAGAAAAGTAATAGAAATAAGAGAAACATAATTCTTACTTTGATTCTGTTTGTTTGCAACTACAAAATAATAAACGAGTTAGTAACTTCAAGGAAATAATAATAAAACAACAATTAAATTAAATTAAATGAAATAGAATTGATTCGGGGCCAAACCCTCAAACAGTTCTACCTTTCACGCCTTGGCTTAAGGACAGAACCACGAGTAAAGTATGGGCTCCTTGGAGTACTTGAAGAAGGAATTTTGAAATAAGAAGGGTAGGCTAGTGTTTAGGCTAAATCATAGAAGAGAGAAAAATAAACTAGAGAATTCATTCATGCCCCATACATCAGAAATGAGGGGGTATTTATAGAGAAAATGTGCTGAGGGAGCACACGGAACCCTAAAATGATAAAAACCCTAAAAAAGTATCCCGCGACATGGCAATCTGTACTGTGACACGGGAAGTCCCACCGTCAGATGGGAAACATTCCCGTGACACGATGCATTTTTAGTGTGACGCGGGAAATTTTCAGTAAACGGGAAAGAAAACGCGTTAAAAGTTTACGCGGAAAAGACACGGAATTTCCCGTGTCACGGCAGATTTCCCGTGTCACGGGAAATCCCACCGTCTGACGGGAATGATTCCCGTGACACGGTGGGTACCTGCCGTGGCGCGGGAATTCCCAGCCCATTTTTCCGTCTAAATACATTTTTAACCCTAATTTCATTCGGCATTTTAAGTGCCGATTGATAATTTCGGGCCTTTTCTGACTTATTATTATTTGGGCTAAAATAAGAAAATAATTAAATAAAATAAATAAAATGTTTGGGCTAATAATAAATTTGGGCTAAAATTAAAACTATGCTTTTACCAAACATCAAGACTAGTCCATGGACTGTTCAAAAATATGAATTTAATCAAATACGGTTTTTTAAGCACTCTCGGGATTAAATACTGAACCCGACCAATAGTGGCGGTGAAAGGTTGTTCATCATCAGGTTTGGTTTTGGGGAGAAATTTTTAGGTGTCTACAGAAGCCCCCACTTTGACTGAGTTTGTAGAAACGTCAGTTTCGAAAACGATAGTCAAAGTATTCGATAGGGACGGAGAATGATTTAAGACGTTTTGCGATCCTAAATCACTCTGTATACGCCGAAACCTGCAAAAAAATGTTAATTCCACAAATAAAAGAGTAAAAGGATAGAATACGTATCTGGCACCAGTGTATCTTTGACAAATGAGTTTGGCAGCTTCCTATGCTTGAAGGAATCCACTG